AAGGAATGTTTAGATTAACCTCTCAATATTCTCCAGGTATGATTAAGAAAAGAAATAAATATATGAACAATATTTAATTAATATGAAATTAACATTTTCATAGGATTTGGGCAAAATAATAATTCAACAATGTTATGAGTCCAGCTGTTACCAACCTTGTAAGCACCAGCAGTTACATAGTGAGTCAGGATTTCCTGATTATGGTCGGTGAGAAGTGAATTTAACTAGGCCAGGATAGACAGGCCACAGCAAGACTAAAGCTGTGACAAGTTTATTGTGTCCAGTCAGACGTTCAAGACTCTTATGAAAAACAATGTAACAGCAGTTTCTAGGATCATTACAATGGTACATAACAGGATACTGTGGTGTTTGTTAGTTATATGGATATAAAATATTAATACATATGGCCAATTTTCTTATCAAGCTTCTATATGCTTTGAAGACTTCTAGGAAACATTGAGAAACAGAGATGGGCCTGAAAGCTTCACCACCAGCGAAAGCAATTTATTTCATCAAGATCTGAAAGGCACACAGTGCCCCAGGAGCTCTAACTTGAAAACCTATGACATGTGCCTCTTAAGGCAGCAAGACTAGACCAACTATATGATTCTCTTTAAATATGGTGAGCCAAGCTAAACAAGAGGCTTCCTTTTTTCCTAGGCACAGTTATTTGGCATGTTGTAATTATTTGTAATCATTCTATAGTACAAGTGGATAGTGTGGAAAGGATCCAAATGCTACCATGGAAGACCATGGCATTATGAAGAATATTAATAATGATAAAGGCACTTAAAATCAGTTTCTCCATATCCATTCATTATCTCCAGTAGAATTCCTCCCTGTGGCTGAGATCTCTGAGCACAAAAGTAGCATGGATGTGTCACTGCTCAAGACAGACAGAGAACCTTGAGTGTAAGCCATGGCATCCCAACCTGCAGGGGAGCTCAGGACCAGCAGGGAAACAATGGAGCCAATAATCAGCAGGACAGAAGTGAGATGAGGTGTGGACTCAATTGCTTCTCTGGACACTTTTCTTAAAGTCTACCAGCTGAATATCACCTGCTGCAGTCTCCAATTTTCTATTTTTTAATCCAGACTTCATTTTTCAAACACAATAGAAACTCCTTGTCAAATATTGCACAGATTTTTATTTTCTTATTTATTTTATTACGATTTATTTATTTATTTATGAGTTTTGAAAAACATGTTTTTCCATACAATGTATTCTTATCAATTTCTATACCCAACACCTTTCAGATCATTCCCATGTTCCCACCATTCAACTAGATGAAATTTCTTTCTCTATATAGAAAACAAACATATAGACAAAAA